TTTGACCTTGAAATATGTGAAATCACATTTGCTAAATATTGTATAATTTCTTAATTTCCAAAAAAAAAACGTCTTTTTTCACTACATCTTGCCACAGACCGATCTCTTATGTGCAATAGTTCAGCACAAACACGACTGTATTTCTCTTATTATGAAATTGAACGTATTTTCATATATTTAAAAGCTCATCTTTGGTTTACTATAAAATATTTATCAACATGTTCTGTATACTATCCTAGTATATTGTTGATACTTTTATTGATTTAGAATATATAATATATGTATATGTATATACATATATAGTACTAAAAATGGCAATTAGGTAGAACTCTATATTGAATTATTGGATTTTTTAAACTTTTATGTGACAAAAGCCTCAATCAGCAAATTGGTCTTGGTAGTTTGAAACCTTAAACTGTGTGATGAATGGGGCATCAAAAATAAAGAGTGTATCACCTTGACAAACATCCCCAAATCTGAAATCATGCCATCGTTCAATGTCACTCTTCACAAGTGATGTCACATCTCATAGCTAGAACATTCCACACTGACACAGTTATTCCATTCAGGTTTATGATCATTTTCCCCCTCAGATATTCCATTAAACTATTTGTCTATTTTATGGTCACTGAAATGAAAAACCTCTTGAGTACTACTGTCCATTTGCAAGATTATTATTAAATAAAAGCTCAGGCCTCTCATTATTTTTATTTCCATTTATAGAATCCTCGTGGCACAATGATTAAGAACTTGGCTGCTAAGTAAAAAACTGGCAGTTGAAACATCTAAAGTTGCTCTGTAGGAATGAAACTTGGTCATCTGTTTCCCTGAAGATTACAATCAAGAAAATCATACAGAGTAGTTCTAGTTTGTCATATATAGTCACTATGAGTTGGAACTGATTTTAGTACACTCAACCACAGCATTACTATGATGTCTAATCAGTAATTTGGAAAATTTTACTTGTGAGCTAACACTGAATTATATGGTCAAATGTCTAGAAAAGTCATACATTATATGATAATAGAAACAATCATCACTAAGAGAATTAATGTCAATGATATCAAACAGATAAAAATAGTTCATACATTACTTATACACATATTTTGTGGGAGTTGTGATTCATTATAAATAGAAATAAGAACATAATTTTTCAAATATTCTTAAATTCAGTTATAGAGAGAAGTCAGAAATAAATTATACATCATCACTGCCTTGATAACAAACATGGGTTTTCTAGCCCTGAAGCTCCATATTTTCTTTACAAATGTGATACTTAAAGTTCTGTTAGAAATATTTTACATTAATAAAACTATTGTAGCATGTGAAACTTATAAAATAAGAAGCATTAAGTACTGTGTTATACATATCAGAAGACCTTTGCATTCTTCTATACAAATGTAATTTATATACTCACTTACCTCAACACTGCAACATATGATTCAGGACATCAAGAAGTAACTACAATCTCTTTGAAAAGATGTTCCAATATAAGAAAAACCTCTTAGTTATCAGGTTTATGGAAATACTGTTATAGTTTGCATTTTAGCAGCTACATGTTAATATTAATGGACTTTGGAGCAAAATTACTGAAGTTTGAAGAGAAATGCACATGTTATACCTAGAATATGGACCCCCAGGGACTACATATGAAAAAGAAGCATACAAGCAGAGCGGCAAGAATATAAGGCCTAGAAGCCTGGAGGCTCAACAGACAGTAGCACATTCAAGTGAGGATTGGGCATAGAGCATGTGTGCTGAGGGCAGGAGAGTACTACCACTTAGTCAGAAATCAGCAAGCAGGGGATACTTTAGCACCTTTCTGTGGCCAGGCTTTGGGAAGGAGTATGATTTGATTCTTGAGATAATTCCACCCGCTGACCAGGTCTAGAAACCATAACAGCAAAGACAAACAATATATATTTCAGAAAACAAATATAAGGATACCTTACATGACATGCTATCATGTTAATTTGACTTGTTCATCATTAGACTCCCTCATTATTTGACCAATAACGTTTATGATAGGCAATGCTCAAAACATTTTAAATGCTTCATAAGAATTCTACCACTTGATCAGAAAGACCTAGAAAACTGTTTGGGTTTTCTATTACAGGCTGCAAAAGTTGTAGTTATATTAGATAGCCTGTATTTTAAGTAGATTAGGTTACAGATACAACACAAATCAGCATAAAGAAACTAGAAAAAGAAAACCTAAGTGCTCAATTTTGTTCTCAATCCATAGTGCTGGTTATACAGTATTGTGAAAATTCAATGAATTGTATACTTAGAGTATGTGCATCTTTCCTGTATATGAAAAGTTTATTCCAAATTATCTAATTCTTTGAAGACATTGGATGATGTATAAATAAATGAGAGCTTGAAATCTTTTTTTTTAAAAAAAATTCCTTCTAAACTTTCTTGGTTCTAAGCCTTCTTACATCTTAAAGAAAAATGGAACTAGTTTCCAGAGCAGACACAGATGTAAACATTGTCACTAGGACTCATGAGTTATATAAAGGATAAAATAAAATACTGAGTCCCTAAAAGTGCTACATTTTAGATAATAATTCAGAGTTTACTGCTATTTTGGCAAATTCATGTTCTGCCAATACTATAACAAATGTTGCCCCACATAGCCTTCCCTATTTCACTGTAGGATCACCTTCAGAGTAATCAATCAACAGTCTCTTGGGGACAGATTCTACATTTATGTTTTGTTTTCGTTTTGGTTTTTTAAAATTGCTTTTACGGTTAGCAGGCAAAAAGTCAAAATGAACATGTAGAGGGTCCAGCTCTGATGGAGAAACTGTTACTCCTCACAGAGGATGTTAAACGGCATTAAAAGTACATATTAAATTCCTCAACAAAATCAACAGAAAGAGCATGAAATGAAGTCCTGCTTGGAGTTAAATCCGTACATACAGCTCTAGAGGAATAAGAGAGATAGTAACCTCTCTTCTTATGGCAGGAATATTAGCTAGGCATCTAGCAAACCCAAGACGAGATAATGTTTACCAGCCATTTTCTTAACTCCCCCCAAGGCCGGATCTCAATCATTGTATTTTCCTGGGGGTTCTTTTATCTGTGATACTACTCAGGTTTCATTCCAAGACTTCCTCTGTTAATATTTATTCAAACCAATTCATGTAGAAAGGTCAATTACTCTGGTAACAATATCTCAGTGAAGTGAATTGCTTCAGTTAAGCATGTTTTATGGTAGGCATACAAGTGGATACACACATGTAGTGGGTTAAGACTAGTCATATACCTTAAGAAAGACCTTACCATTTCCCAAATATAATATGAGTCACATCTCTAATTCAACACTAGGCAGAATTTTATAGAGCCAAAGAAATGAAGAAATCTTAGTCAGTCTGGAACTGAAAATATGGTAACTGCAGTTAACAGTCACAAGTAATCCTAGTTCATCAAAGAGTACATTTTGAAGTAAGAGTAAAATATAACAATTACTGTTACTTGTTCAAAAGATGCTTTTTATTTGTACTAACACAATTGCTTTACCTTCAGTGGTGTTTTTAATAACACTTACCACAGAGTGGGAACTTGGAAGTGGTGGCCGTACCCCAAAATTTATATTCCCTGGGTAGAAAGAACATGGATAATTACTGTAGTGTGCATTTTAATTATCAACTCATCCCCCTTCCTCACTGCACGTCAATGTGATCGTTATACATATTTACTCGAAAAGAATATATACTGTCTTTAGTGGCTCATCATTTCTAACCAACCAGTAAAATAAAGCCTCATCCAACCTGAATTTTCATAGGCAAAATCCTAGCTGAGTATTTTATTAGTATTTGAAAAATAAAGATTATAGCATTGAAGTAACTCACCATTATCTGTGCCAATTTTCTGACAAGGAACTGTAAGAACTCTTAACAACCCATCTGGTTTATAAGAATAATGTTCAACTAGCTGAAAGAGAAGAAATTAAAGGTAGTTAACAACCATGGCACAGAAATAGAAAAATACTGACTTATAGTCAGGTTTTAAAAATTATTTTTAAGACAAAATGAAACAAAAATAAATACAAATGTTTCTGTTGGTCAGGCTTCCTAATTCTTCTCCAGGATTCCTTCCTCATCCCATCAAACTTCTAGGGAGAAGTCAACATTTATGACCTTCTTTCTATAAATCTACATTGTTTATAAGTAGCCAAGGTGGTGTAGTGCATTGCATATTAACCAAAAGTTAAGTGGTTTGAGTCCACCAGCAGTTTCATTTAAGAGAAAGATGAGTAGTCTATTTCAGTAAAGCTTTGCAAAGACAAAAAACACAACTGATGGTCACTGTGAACCAGAATCAACTTGATGTTGGTGGGGCTACTATGCTCAGGGTTATTCTATTTCAACCTGATTTACTAAGACATGCTACTATTTCAGGCACCAACTTCTTCTGCTGAATGCAATAATTTATTCTCAGACGAATCCTATTTAATTTGTCAAAAATATTTGAGATATTCTATTAATTTCTCAAACTATAATTAAAAGATCTCATTAATATTTATAGAATTTTAAATATTTAGACAATTGATGTCATAGGGTAATTGAGAAGAATAGGGATACAAGTAGGGATTTCTACTAGAGAAGCAAAAACTTACTACCTAGTTGATTTCAATTCATAAAAACCTTATAGAACAAAGCAGAACTGGCTCTTAGTATTTTTAGAGTATCAGAACCCTTGAAGATTGGCTTTTCTAGCCACTGTGTTAGCCCCCATTAAGGGCATAGTCTCCAGCTACCTTAATTAAGGACACAGTCTTGCAAATCACCAACAGATGTGGGATCAATACAAGAGAGAGAGAGCTTTCTACACTGTGAGGTACTCTGGTGACAGTAGTGAGAAGAGGGTAGAGACTGTGGCACTGCTGTGAAAAGACTGTGGCAAAGTGTAATCCAAGGAACCTTGCCTTTATAGTACAGTCAAAGGTTTTGCTTGTTGAATGACACAAATGGAGATCTTTACACTTAGGTTCATAGTAGCATTATTCTTAATAGCAAGAAAAAGGAAACAGTCCAAATGCACATAAACAAAGAATGGGTTGGGAAATTAAGGTACAGTCACACAATGTAACACTAAAGGGGAAACAATTTTATAAAGCACAATCAACATTCCTGGTACTGGCAGCCAGGGAATCAAAGAAGAACTGCATTGGGAAAGTCTGCTGTCAGGGACATTACTAGAGTACTGAAGAGCAACGATGCCAGTCTGGAGACTTAGGTGCGCCTGATCTAAGCCATGATCTTCACAATTATGTGCTATGCTTCAGAAGGCTGGACAATGACTAGGGATGACAGAAGGAGAACTATCATCTTTGAGCTATGGTGCTGGAGAAGAGTGTTGAATATACCATGGACTGCTAAGAGAACAAACAGGTTCATCCTAGAGAGGGTGAAATCAGGCTACTCCTTGGAGGCAGGGATTCTGAAGCTCCATCTAACATACTTTAGGCATGTTGCAATGTGGGACCAGCCCTTGGAGAGGGACATTAAGCTTGAGAGGGTGGAGAAACAGTGCAGGAGGTGAAGACCATCGATGAGATGGATTAACTCAGTGATTGGAGAAATAGGGGTAAAAATGTCAGAGATGATAAGATTGGCTTAGGATAGATAGAGCAGGGTTTAGAAGTGTTGCACACAGGGTTGTTATGAGTCAGAAGTGACTCAAAGGCACATAAAAACAACAACAATAATCATATAACATGGGACAGTCTAGAGAACCTTATGCTAAGTGAACTAACTCAGTCTTACAAGGATAAATAACTGCGTAAGATCATTATTGCAAACATAGAAGGAGAACTAGTAAGATACTGATAAAAATTCAAAAGGGGAAAGGGAGTGGAACAAGGTGGTGAAGGGTTGTGAAAGGGGATCACTAGAATAACAGAGTTTGGTGAGTGGAGGGTGGTGTGAAGGCATTAGGAAAGATCCAATGGAAACCTAAAAATATGGATAATAGTAGTGATAGGCCAACAGTAATTAATTTTCTAAAACACAATGCATACGAGTGATCATTTTAAATACAATATGAAGGTAGGCACATGTGAAACAAAATGCATATAAATGATTCACAATGCATTTTTATTTTGTATGCAAACCAATATAAAAGAAAATGTAGCATGTGAGGGAACAGCATAAACCCCATTTTTTATAAACCCCCATTAATACCAGAAGCAGAGGCGGGCCATAAAAATTCTTAGCTTAAGGCAAACACAAATGCCCCTGATAAAGTCTTATCTGTCCTTGCAAAGTAAAGAATTAATTAGTGTTGTTGTTGTTGTTGTTATGTGCCTTGGAGTCATTTGTGACTCATAGTGATCCTATGTACAACACTTCTAAACCCTGCTCAATCCTGTGCCAATCGCACTGTCTCTGACACAACCATCCCAATTACCCCAGTGACTGAATCAATCCACCTCATAGAAGGCCTTCCTCTCCTGCGCTGTCCCTCCACCCGCCCAAGCATGATGTCCCGCTCCAAGGACCTGTCCCTCCTTACAACATGTCCAAAGTATGTCAGACAAAGTCCCAGAATCCTTGCTTCCAAGGAGCAGCCTGGTTTAACCCTCTCCAAGACAAATCCGTTTGTTTTCCTGGCAGTCCATGGTACATTCAACACTCTTCTCCAGCACCACAGCTCGAAGGCATCAATTCTCCTTCTATCTTCCCTAGTCATTGTCCAACTCTCTGATGCATAACAAGTGATTGCAAAAACCATGGCCTGTATCAGGCGCACCTCAGTCTCCAGAGACACACCGTTGCTCTTGAGTACTTTAGAGAGGTCCCTAATAGCAGACTTTCCCATTGCAATACGTTTTTTTATTTCCTGACTGCTGGTGCCAAGAGTGTTGACCGTGGAGCCGAGCAAACTGAAGCTGTGAACAATCTCAATCTCTTCGCCACCCACCCTGATGCTGCCAATTGGTCCAGTGGTGAGAATCTTTGTCTTCTTGACATTGAGCCTCAGTCCATACTGAAGGCTGCAGTCCTTGACCCTCTGCAGCAAGTGCATGAGGTCTTCCTCAGTTTCAGCAATCAGGGTTGTGTCATCCGCATAATGCAGATTGTTAATAGATCTTCCACCAATCCTGACGCCACACTTCTCTTCATAGAGCCCAGCCTCTCGGATAATCTGTTCTGCATATAGGTTGAAAAGGTATGGAGACAGGACACATCCCTGGCATACACCCTTCCCAAGTTTGAACCATGCAGTGTTACCCTGCTCTGTTCTGACGACTGCCTCTTGGTCCAACTATAGGTTTTGCATTAGCATGATTAAATGTTCTGGAATTCCCATTCTTCTCAGAGTCAGCCACAGTTTGTTATGATCCACGAAGTCAAACGCCTTTGCATAATCAATGAAACACAAATAGACATTCTTCTGGTATTCCCTGCCTTCAGCTAAGATCCATCTACCATAAGCTACAATATCCCTTGTACCACGACCCCTTCTAAACCCAGCCTGGACTTCTGGCAGCTCTCTGCTGATGTGCTGTTCCTGTCCTTTTTGGATAATCTTCAGTAGAATCTTGCCTGCATGTGAAATCAATGATATTGTTCTGTAGTTTCCACATTCTGTTTGGTCACCCTTCTTTGGAATGGGAACAAATATAGATCTCTTCCAGTCAGGTGGCCAAGTGGTTATTCTCCAGATTTCTTGGCACAACTTGGTGAGCACATCCAGGGCAGCATCTGTAACTAATGTCTAGGTGACACAAAAAGAGTAAAGGCGGGCAAAGTAGCCAGCCCATCAAAAGCCAACCCACATGACTGATCCCCTGACCAACCAACCAGGATCTCAATCTCTCTGCCCTGACAGTGGCACCCAGGAAAGCCATAAAAGCAATTGGGGGGAGGGGAGACTCAGCACTTTTCCCTTGCCACCTTCCTACTTGAGGGAGAAAGTCTCCACTTGTGGATACTCTGGAATAAAGTGCTTATTTGTATTTACAAACGTGTGGATTAATTCTTTTGAGAGGCATTTCATGGACAGAACATTTGGTGAATGGGCTGGGAATTGCCTCCCCAAAGAATCCTGAGTATGTTAAACACTTAAATCCCGGCTGGTAAATTCAGCGAGGCTCTCACTGTGTCTATTGTCTCTTCTGTACATGGTAGTTTGAACCGTAAACCTAAGCCCGAGTTTCTGGGCAGACATGCCTGACAGAGCTCCGGCGTGGGGGAGTTGGAGACATCCACTCAGGCTCTTTGGAGAGGACAGGGTTCCTCTAGTCTGGTCTGAAGGAACTAAAGGCGGGTCGCTCCCGTCATCTGGAGCCCGTACTTGGGAAAGGCTTGAGTTCCAAGCTTTGGTTTTTGTCATCTTTTCTACTTTGTCTGTTTGTCTTTGTTCTTGTCCTATTGTTGCCAGGCCATCCAGATCAAGTCGTATAAAGGAGCCCAGATGGAACCGTTAAAACAAAAACAGTAAGTAGCCGGCAAATCTCGCAGAGCAAATTAAAGGTTATTATCTCTTTAAGACAGGAATAGGAAAATGGCAGCAGCCAGCACCAGTGAGTGTGCTCACCCTCCTCTGGGGTGAGGCAAGTTGTCCCACAGCTGCTGCACTGCGCCTGGGCAGCAAAGGCAAGGCAAAACACAAAATGTTTTCTGGCTGCAGCGGGGTGGTGGTGGGAAGGAACCACCACGAGGCGCCACTGATAAAAACCCAGGTGCTCCAGGTGCCCGGGAACCAGCAAGTGCTGGCATGGCCCTGCAGGCACGCAAGAGGGTGGGGCGTCCTGGTTTGTCCGTGGCCAGGCCTGCGCAGGTGCGGCTCAAAGGCTTGACTCTTTCTTTCTTTCCCTTGGGAATCCAACTGCTATCCCTGTGTCTGTGCGCCTCTGTGGGGGTTTTGCCTAAATATCCTGTATGTCTGTGGTATACATTGTTTAAAAACTAAAACTGACCCTATAA